GAACTCATTTCCAGATTGACCAATTACTTGCTAAAACATGTACAATAACAAGAGAAAAAAAACATTTTTTCTAACCAGTAATTCAACCAGAGTGAAAACGAATGCTCCAAGCCACCAAAATTATTACGGGATTACTAATGTTGACCTGCGTTGTATGGCACGCCAAATTCATAAAAATGAGCTAAACCTAGTTTTACAATTGATAAAGTAGGTTTATCGACTGTAAACTATAGTTAACGATTCTTTAAGTATAGTTTTCATCTGTAAAACTATATTTAACGGTTGTTAATTATAGTTTACGAATGCTAATCTAAGTTTATCTGTCTGTAATAAAACGTTAACAATAGATTTTGTTGATAAACATAGATTCACGTCTGTAAACTATAGTTTTCGATCGTTAACTACCGTGTAAGACTTGTAAACCTTGTAAACCATAGTTTACAAATCGTGAAACTGTATTTATCAGATAACCTATGTCTTGCGATCGCAAATGATAGTTTAATGTGTTAAGTATAGTTTACGGTTGTGAAACATAGATTATCGCGTTAACTTTGGTTTACAGATGTAAAATATAGATTAACGTTGTTAACTATAGTTTACAGTCCGTAAACTATAGTTTACAACAAATAAACCTAGTTTATTGATTGTGAAACTATGATTAGCAATTTTTGGTGAATTTGGCGTGCCATAGCGTTGCATAAATCTGCACTGCATGATGCTTAAGGCATCTGTAAATATCCGGTACGAAACATAAAATTTTTTAATCTGGTTTAGCAAAAGCACACATTTTAAAATTTAAAGAATCGTTTCAGAAAAGAGACAGGTTAATTATTGTAATGTTATATATGATATCAAACAGAAAAGAGTAAACGCTTTCAGATCGTTTTACTTGCAAAAAGAGCTCCGGCTGAAGTGACGTTAAAATGACGTAGCGATGCTGCTCCAGATCGATGGACATATGCATGTTTATAATTTCAGCGGAACTTATCTTAATATCCTGTGAATTAGAAATTCTGCATAATTGTTTTATTCGTTCCTTGTATAATGTTATGGAATCATCATGAATTTATCTCTGTCCTTTACGGAGTTAAAGTAGATGTCTCAATAATTTAGGAACAGCCCTCGTACATACTTACAAGGTAGTTCCTGTATCAAACATCTTTTAATTTTCTTAATTTTTAAAACAATATCAATCATAATCTCTCTCTTCTGTAAATGTATTTTTTTTGGCTTATTTTCAACTTCATTCACAATATGTAGTACTAAAATGAAGTTCCTGCACGGCCGGGGCACTGTAGCAACTGTTCACGATATAACGCCGCATAATGATACACATATTATTAAGAGTTGCAATTTTAACGCTTAATGCCATAAATTATTGCATTATTGGTTGACCTTTTTTACCGCTAATGCTAAATCACCGCTTTATGACAGAATTATATCTGTCGATACAGCTTAATATATCATTAAGCGTTGCAATCGCACCCTTGATGATAGAAAATCCCTCCCCAAAGCTTGGAACTGAACGTCATATCATTCATCTTCCCAAGTCAAGAGTTTCTGATCCGCTCCGCTCCACATAAACCTTTGACTGAATAGACAACATTTGATGGAGTTTACTGTCACGCCATCTAGTGAGATTACATATATTAAACTCTACTGACCTCTGTTATTGGCCTATCAGAGTAAAACGAATTCAACAGAGAATTCTGGGTAATATTGGAAGTTGGTAAAACATTTAATATAATTCAACTATATAAAAAGCTGAGACAAACCTTTAACTGGGCTTTTTTAATGATAAAGACATTATCCTTGGGACTAAAACTGGCTTGATTTTCTGTTTACAATTTAGTTTAAGTTAAAATGAAAAAAATGATTTTGATTGTTTCATGCAGACTTACATGATGCCAATCAGATAACGCATTTCTAACCCCGTCAAACTTGGTCTACTCAGTCAAGGGTTTATGTGGAGCGGAGCGGATCAGAAATTCTGGACTTGGGAAGATGTATATCATTGTGTATTTAGATTTGTAAGAATATGTGATATTTTTTACAGGAGGGATATGGGATGGGGGTTTATGAATTTTCATTTCTGAAAGATCTTTGATGGTGAATTATTTTAATTTATCACTTTTTATCACTACAAAATTTCAAGAACAAGGAAAATACAGTTTTATTGCGATTTGTTTTTGACACAACCTTACGCAAAAAAAACTTACTATGCAACCACAAATTTAATACAGCTACTTCCCTTACCGGTTTTTTATTTTCATTTTTTATTGAATGTAAAATAAACAAAATGACAATCTTTTAGACGGCTGGAGATTTAAACAGAAGGGGGAGGAGTGGTTCGGGGGAAAATATAGAAGCAGGAACTTAAATAAAATAAAATGTCAGCAAAAACTGGGCGGTCCTATGGCACAAGATGAAAATAACCATGGTTTAAATAATAGATATACGAGTAACATTTTGAAATAAATTTATTGAAAAGATAATATTTGGGTAAAAATTTTCAGTTTTTAATCCACTATCTATTGTGTAGTCTTTTGGATTTTTAAGGCATTTGCTTAATTTTTTATTAGAACACAGAACATGAAAAATGGCGACGTTCGATGACTTTACGGCGCACAGGAAAGCAGTTCAGATTGTTTTAGATGTTGTAATGATGCCAAAAAAGACTTTAAATGATAAAGAAAAAAATCACCAGATATTTATAATTAGTGTACAAGTGAAATGGGAGTTGTCTTAGCGAAATCGTACTTAATCGAGTACCCGGGTAAAACAAACAGCTGTGGAAATATGACGCTGTCACTGTTGACAATAAATATAACATAGCTTATTTAGTTGAATGATAGTAAGAATATTGACCATGACTTAGTAATAAATCTTCAGAAAGTTCCATGTGTGTGCAATTCCGTTCTGCGACTGCTAATGATGGAATAAATGAACACAAGTATGTGCATTTATGAAAATCCTAAACTTGTGCCATATGGCAAAGCTACACATCATATAAAATCTCATAATTACAGTATGCATATTTTCTATTTGAAATTTGGTATATTTATTGATAGAAAATGTACTAAAGAGCAGTAAAAACAGAACGCAGTGATGATTATTTATCATTCTGTACAACTTGTCCACGATTTTTCCGGAAAGCCCTCGTAAATATGTTCAATGTTCAAATCAGATTGATACCCCAAAGCGTAATGAACGGACACACAGACAGAAGGACAGCTGGATAACCCATATTACTAACACCCCCCCCCCCCCACACACACACACACACACTTTTCGAGCGGGTGGTATAATAAAGAAATAATGTGATAATTTTCTTTTTCAAAGTTTCAACTCTTTTATATACTATTTAAATTCTATTTCTTAAAGAATTTATACTTACTCTTCTTACACCACATACATCCTCATCAACTGAAAAAGTCTCTTTTACTTCTTCAGTTTCATGTTCAAAGAAAAATTAGGTACATGCATTTTTTAAAAAGGAAATACGATAAACAGATAAACAAATGTCACAAGATACCATGGCTACTCGCGCAGCTCTATATCTTGCTGTTAAAACCCGTTTCTATTTTTTAAAGAACAATCACCTTCTGTTAGAACTTAGACGGTATGTATGTTTTATTTGAAATCATGCCAATTATCCTACGAAAATTTCCATTTGAAACATGAAGTTGAAAGGCAAACTCAAATCTCTCTCTGCTATCCAATATTTTAAATGCCAAATTTTAAAAGAAAAAAATTTAAATGCTGGACAATTATTATTTATCTATTCCTGAATCTATTTTAAGAATTTTAAAGAGGAATTAATGATATGAACATTCGGAAAAAAATCCTGTTCACAAGAAATGTAAATTAGATATTTTTTCTTAATCTTATTCGGAGTTGTATAATGCAAATTAATTATAAATTCATGCGAATAAGTTTGCGTTCAAACGACAGTCAATGCAAGTTATGGTTTTATATTTGTCCGAACGAATTTCTAATTTGCACAAAAAATACAAAAGTATTTTGAATTTTTTTCTTTAAAAAAAACTTTTTATAATGACGTATTTTTCCACACACGCTTCTTTCTGCAGTGCAGATATATGTTTTATAACTTAATGTCATGAGGCTTGTAAAAACATTTTAGTATGCTTGCTATTATCATATTTTGTTTATGTTACGGATTTTCCCCATAACCAAAATAACCCACAGATTGGATCACCCAATTTATGCCCTGCATATTTACTGTAGATCACTAAATTTTCGCGACACCTTATTTTCGCGAGATAGTCATTGACTCTTGATTAGCGAGACAAAATTTTCACGAGTTGTTGTTATTCCTCTATATAATCTTAAGGAAAATTATTATACGCGAGAATTAAATTTTCGCGAGGACACTGTCTCGCGTATAAAAAGTAATTTACAGTATTCTAGAAATCGTAAATTTATTTGACGCTATCATAGGAATATTACTAATCTTCGTATGTCATTAATGTATGCTTTTTAATTCATTGTATATATTACGGCAGAGATGTGCGGTTATGGATCGAGCGGCCCTCTCGCAGATGAAACAAGGTCAACTTGGGTTTTTACTGATGAAGTTTAATGTTCAAAGCAAAAATACGGGTATTCCCGCCACACTGTCACAAGATACCAAACTTCACCGTGAAACTGTAAACAATAACAATTACACAGATTCAATACATAAAAAATTAATTACTGATCGAATATATGCAAAAACTCACATACAAAAATAAACTTATTTACCTCCTTGTGCCTTGCTTTCGCAGTATGAGGGGTTTTGTAGCACCATGTGCTTGCCGCCATGAATACAAGAATAACGCAGATGATATTAAATTACCTCATTTCACAAAAGAGTTCCAAGTACGGCAGCATGTGCGGGCGTAACATGGCTCCCCAAATTAGTGAATAACTAATTTTAACATATATACAATCACATAACTTCTACAATGTATCTGAGGAAAGAATCAAATAAGTTCCAACTATGGCTCCTTGTTGGGGTTTTCCCCGGTCTCGTTCTCCAGCAACAAGACTAACTTATGAACAGGTCTCTCTAGTGTTGAAGGCTGACCGTTCCTCTTGCCGTTTTTGTCCAAACTGCTATCCCCGATGGCTAACTTTACACTCAGGACCAATCCATTCTCACTTGTATATGTCTCTATGACACGGCCAAGACGTCACTGATTTCGTGGCAAGTTGTCATCCTTCACTAACACAACATCTCCTGTCTGGATATTCCGTCTGGGCGAGGACGGAGGGTCTGAAGGAATTCCTTTCTCCAACGTATCCAGAATTCATTGGTCAAGTATTGTATGCGGCGCCATCTCTTGCGGCAATACAAATCAGGCTTCTGAAACTCATCGGGTGGTGGCAAAACAACCTTATACTTCATGGTTAGAAGGTGGTTCGGTGTGATGGGTTCAGGGGCGAATGGATCGTGCAAGTTCAAAATGGTAAGTGGGTGACTGTTGACAATAGCCATTGTCTCAAAGAAAAAGGTTCTAGGAGCCTCATCGTCTAACTGAGCACCAAAGTTCTGTAAGAAAAGAAAGGAAGAAAGCACATTCCGAACTGTCCTGATCTGCCTTTCCCATATTCCGCCCATATGACTCACTGATGGAACGTTCATTTTGAAATGGATATAATCACATCCGTCAGCTGTGAGAAACTGCTTCAAACGACTATCGTCTAATTCTTCCAAAGATTCTCTGAGTTCTCTCTCAGCCCCGACAAAGTTGGTGCCTCTATCTGATCTCAGTTGTCTTACTGGTCCATGTATCGATAGAAATCTGCGCAGAGCGTTGATAAATGAACTATTGTCGAGAGAGTTTGCAGTCTCAAAGTGTCTGATGATAAGCCTTGTTACATGAGACTTCCTTGGTAAAATGACTGGATGCTTTACATAAGACGTAAATTCTCCCTTCCGCAAACGACCACCGACTCGCAAAACATCATTCTCATCCAGAAATGGATAAAGTCGGTAAAGGGAGGATGTCCTTCGAACGGATTTCTTCCTGTTAACTTCCTCATATCCCTTGATGTCGTTAAGAAATTTCAATTCTTCACTAAAGGCCTCTTTCTGAACTAATCTTACAATAGTCAATTCTGCCTCCTCTAATAATGCTACTGGCAATCCTTGCTCCTTGCAAAGCACTGCGTCTGTCCCCTTCTGACAAGCATCCTTCCTAAGTAATGATTTGAACTTAAGACAGTTTGCTATGAGTCTCTTGGCATGGGTCCAATCAGAATAACGTTCTAAATGGTCCATCAATGATGTACACTCCATAGGTTCTACCTTCGTTCCGAACACTTGGCAACGCTTAACCTCTGGGTCATCATCCGATAAACTCGGCTTGCTGACAGGTTGACCAGTAAATGGTAAACTTTACTCCCATACAAACTTGGGTCCTCTGAACCATTCCTTCCTCTTTCGTAACTCATCAGCTGTGACACCACGTGATGCCATGTCTGCTGGGTTCTCTGCTGAACTGATACAGTTCCATTGATATGGTTCTGTGTAATCACGAATCTGTTGAAGTCTGTTGGCAACAAAAACATGAAATCGCCGAGAATCATTAGCAATGTATCCAAGAACAACAGTGCTATCTGTCCAGAACCACTCAACAACATTGCTAATTTCAAGCTCTTCCAGAAGTTGGGAGCTGACCTTAATAGAAACGAGAGCAGCAGTAAGTTCCAAACGAGGTACGGTTACTGGCTTGAGTGGCGTAGCTCTGGATTTGGCCATAACTAAAGAGCAGTGAACTCCCTGCTTGTCATCGATGAGACGAAGATATGAGCATTGGCCTTACCCGATAGTGCTCGCATCTGCAAAATGGTGTAGCTCCGCTATAACAACATCTCCAAAGTTCTCGGGTTTCAAACATCTCTTGATTTCCAAGGAAGCAAGCTGCTCAAGATCATTTCTCCAACATCTCCATCTAGGCTTCAAGTTCTCTGGAAGAGGGCTATCCCAATCTGTCTGGTTTCTACACATTTCCTGCAAGATTTGTTTCCCAACTAGAACGAAAGGTGCTATGAATCCAAGTGGGTCAAATGCGGAACTCAAAGTTGAAAGAACACCTCGTCTAGTAAGAGGACGGTCCTTCAGGGTAATCTTGAACTGAAATGCGTCTGTCTGAATACACCACTGTATACCTAAAGTTCTTTCCATGGGAAGCTTGTCATGGTGTATGTCAATATCTGCTAGTCCCTTTGCTCTTTCTTCAGCTGGAATGCTCTCCAAAACTTCCTTTGAGTTTGAGAGGAACTTGTGTAACCTTAAACCACTTCTGCTGCACAACTCTTTGCTTCTCTCTATGATGCTAATGGCTTCCTCTGGAGTAGCTACCGACTTTAGTCCGTCGTCGACATAGAAGTCTCATTTGATGAAGTTGCCAACATCAGACCCAAACTTAAGCTCTCCGTCTGAGGCAGCTTGTCTGGAGCCAAAATTGGCGCATCCTGGAGAAGATACTGCTCCAAATAGATGTACAGTCATCCGGTAAGTAGTAGGATCCTTTATCAAAATTGCCATCATCCCACCACAAGAATCGTAAGTAATTTCTATGTTCAACATTCACCTTGAACTGATGAAACATCTGCTCAATATCACAAACAAAGGTCACTGGGTCTTTGCGAAATCGACACAAAACTCCAAAAAGCATATTCATCATGTCAGGTCCTTGCAGCAAATGGTCATTCAATGACTGTCCCATATACCTTGCACTGCAATCGAAGACTACACGCAGCTTTCCTGATTTTTGCGGATGATATACGCCATGGTGTGGGATGTACCACTCCTGACAACTATCGACACCAATTTCCTTCTTCGGCACTCTTTCGGCAAAACCGTTTGATATCAGTTCTCTCATAAAGGAAACGTAATGCTCGTTATTCTGTGCGTCTTTCTCCAGTCGTATCCGCAAGCTTTGTAGTCGCTGAAATGCCATGTCTCTATTATTGCTCAGATATGGCATCGCTTCTCGGAAAGGCAATGGCATTTCATAATGCCCATCATGTTTATGAATCCCCTTGTCCCTGATATCCAGAAATTTTCTGTCTTCGTAGGAAACATGTTTTGAACTGCTAAAGTTCTCACTGAAATCCACTTCAAGCATCCTAACTATCTCTTCAGGGTTGATTACTTCCTTTATCTTGTTCCGTATGGAAAATACAACATTGTCTTGCCTTGATGCTTCAGATGTACACAGTTCTGTGGGCAAGTCGCACGCAACAATACGATGACTAATTCCTATGGGGTCCTCATCCCATTCCGTTGATCAGTCATTCTCCATAATGCCTACTACACTTCATCCCAAGTCAGTGCGCTAACCATAAGGTCCGTCTTCAGATGGAACGATAATATCTCTAGGCGTTAAAGCCTTTACACATTTGTAACCAATAAGTAATCCAACTTCGCAATCAGTCAGAGGTAGAATTTCATCTGCAATTAGTTTCCAGATGAGGCCATCTTCTCGCAACTTTCGGTGTCGGGATATGGGATCTGTTAGCAGGCATGATAGCTCTTGTGTATGTCTAAGGTAACGCTATTCTGTGTTCACTATTGAAGCCACGTATAACAAGTCCTCCAATCTTACAACTATCTATGGACTTGTTCTCTGCATACATAGTAGAAAGCATCAGCTTCACAGGTCTACCTGCAAGTCCGAGGGCCCTTGAAGTCTTCTCCAAAATAAAGGTTGTATCCGATTGCGTGTCAAGTAGTGCAAAAACTAACTCTCTTTCTGGGTTTTCTTTATGTGACACATAAACTGGAAGTATCATGGTACTTTTACTAGATGCTCCAGAGTGATTCATAAGTGTTGTTCCTGATGAACTCTCCTTTGGCACTGCTGCCTTATCCATATCCTCCGTAATCTGGTGCTGTTCTCGTCTGTAGATGTCCCCGTGTAAAGATTAGGGGTGAAACTTGGAACAAGTTTTGCATCTTTTCCTCTGGCGACACTTCCTTGATAGATGACCTGAATGTAAACATCCAAAACACAAACCTTTCTGTTTTGCGTAATGTTTTCTTCCTTCCAGACTCTTCGCCAAGAACTGTTGACAGTCATGTAGTTCATGATTCCCTTCACACAAAATGCAGTTTCTCCCTCTGTCGCTCCTATTTGCAACGTTCATATTTGCAGGCTGATTCTCATCAACATCTGTCAGGAAAGGCCGTTTTCCATAATCAGCTGCTCCTCGCTGTCGTACCCTGACATCAGGTCGGGGTTTACTCGACTCTGATTGGACGAGTTCAGACTTCTTTACAGACTCTATGGAGGTAATAGGGTCTGTCGCAATCTTGGCTTCTTTCACGATAAATTCCATAAAATTCTTGAATGGTGGAAATTTCATTCTTTCTTCTCTATACTATGTGGCAATCCTACCCCATCTTGTCACAAGCCAGTCTTGAAGTTTGCTCAGCAGTCTTCTGTTTTCTCTGTCATCGTTGAGAATGTTCAAGCTTCCAATACTCTGCATGGCTGTATAACACTGCTTGAGAAAATCACCGAAGCGCTGCAGTCCAACAACAATCTCTCGAGTTTATCTTTGTCCATTTATCCAGCTTGTCGCGGAATGCATTGGCAACAATGAATGGGTTACCATATCTTTGGTCTAGCAGTCCTTTAGCCTCCTCATAAGCATCGTCTGTCGATAACAGAAAATAGTTCTCCATGACATCCTTCACTGGTCCACCCAGATACTTCTTCAAATAATGTATCCTTTCTGATGCTGGAATCTGACGCTGCTCAATGTGTTTGAAATGATGTCTTCCAACTTAGGTACTTCAACGGATTTCCTAGGAAAATGGTAGGTTCCGGAGGGGGTAAACGACTAAGACTCACTTGCTTCGCTAGTGAAGTAGCCAGATCCAATAAGCCTTGCTCTATTTGTTTGTCATCTTTACTATGCAGTGACGGTTTGTTACGTGACTGCAAGTCTATGTTGCTTAAGGGAACTCTTGAAGCAGTGCTAGTTGCGACATATTCCTGTTGTGTCTCAGGAGTGAAAACTGGAGGAATGAGGTTCCTATCCGAAATCGGTGGTGCTTCCGATACTGGTTCTATCTTTCTAATCTCTTCTGATGGTCTGTTCTGAGTACTCTGGAATCGAATGTTTAAAATCACTGTACAAGAATGGTTCATTACCTTCCAAAGTTTCAAGTGCTTCTAACTTAGCCTGCCCTCTATCAAGCTCCTTCTGTGTTCTAATCCTTTCAAGGTCAGCCTTGTGTTTTGCCTCGGCATCAATGTACTTCAGCTTTGTCTTCAGCGCTGCTGCCTCCATGACTGTATCTACCGACTTCCTGGAACTTCTGGAGGTATTGGAAACCCTCGTTGACCTTTATGTACGACTGCTGTGCGATCTACCTGAAACCCTGGAGACAGAGTCAAACTCCAATTCTCTCAAGCAATTTGTAATGTCTCTCATCAATGTGTGATTATCTCCTAGAACAATCTCAATCCTCCCCTGGTACTGATCAATGAAATTTTTGTACTTCTCGTCTTCTTCATTGGTAAGTGTTTGTTTCAGTCTATCAAGAATTTCATTCAGACTAGTCGTAATACTCATAAGAACGTCTCTTTCTCGCCTAATAGCAGAGGTATCCCTCGAATCCGAAATAAGAACTTCAATAGATGCTGCACACTTCCGCCATCTGGAAGCTTTGAGCTTAATATCTGAGCATATCTGATCAACTTGCCATTCTAAACCTTTCGTGGTCATCTTGCGCTCACGCATATTTAATGTATTGCTCTGGCTTTCTTGTCCAGAGTCCTTAGACGTTTCTTCAGAAGCTGTTTTAACATTTTTCTTGTCACTACCTGTGTTGTTGTCTTCCTTTGTTTCAGGGGACATAGATGAAAGTGCATCTGTATAGGGCATCTCTTCGTTTGACATATTTGTTACACAGTTAGGGAGTCTAAACTTAGATACAATACAATGATACGTACTGCCTATGTGATAAAATATTGCAATAAAATATCAGAACCTTCCCCTAGCACACAAGGTAAATACACGCACATGTTTACATATACATTGGATACAAATCAACATTTGCAATCAAGAGTCAATACAGTTCAAATCTAGGGCACAATCTTGATAATTGTTCATATGCAAAGATATAATAAATAACTAGCACTAATCAATAGCATTAATCAATTAATAGCACAATGTTTACCAACACACAGTCACAAATTGTAATGTATTGTAATGTTAGAATTGTCATTTTATAACGCGAACGTGCCACCATACAATTTTCAAACATTTAATGTCATCAATATAAATCGCAAATGTTGTGTTCACAGTTACACATCATCACAGAAACATCATGTGTCGCAGATACTGTAAAGTCAATACAACGGTAATGGCGTCTCTAGGCTTCCATAGGTCACACTCACCGTTTTACGATACTAGGAAGGAGTTTCACTGTTACGGCAGAGAATGTGCGGTTATGGATCGAGTGGCCCTTTCGCAGATAAAACAAGGTTAACTTGGGTTTTTACTGATGAAGTTTAATATTCAAAGCAAAGAAATACGGGTATTCCCTCCTTGTGCCTTGCTTTCGCAATATGAGGGGTTTTGTCGCACCATGTGCTTGCCGCCATGAATATAAAAATAACGCAAATGATTACCTTATTCTACGAAAGAGTTCCAAGTACGGCAGCATGTGCGGGCGTAACATAAGACATGTCCGCAGTCGTCTTTAATTTTAGGACTAAGTTCAGTAGGTCCTCTATGTTAGGGAAGCTTCGACGGCCTCACTTAAGACTAACCCCTCGTTCACACAGAGCTGCGAATTTATGACGATCATCCCGATCTATAGCTACGATCTGGTTAAGTTTGGATCGGGGCAGATCGCAGCCAATCGGCGTCAAAATAGAGCAATTTGGCAAATAATGGTCTTCATTACGACTGTACTACGATGTCCCGACATCAATTGCGCTGCTAACACGCTTCTACTGCGATGTTACGATGCTTCCGCGCTGCTTGTACGATCAAGGCGCTTCTACTACACTCGTTTACGACTTTACCCTAATTCTTATCGGCCACGATCCTGCTACGCTTGTTTTGAGCATGTTTAAAATGAGCGTGGCGTCAGAGAATAGAGCTCTCAGATCATGAAGACCCTACCACGATCATACTGCGCTTATGAAGACTCCACTACGTTTCTCCTGCGATTTTTCACGATTGGCCACATTTTCGACCACGCTTTGATCGTAGTAGAAGCGGCATCTATGTGTGAACGGGGGGTAAGATATGTCTTAAGTTAGTCTTAAGATAAGTCTTAGTCCTATGATAGCTTGCAAGGTTTCATTAGAGAATTCACGAGTAAAAATTCGGTGTAATATATAAAACTATTAAATTTATAAGATTGGAACATAATCCTACTTTTAATCCACTCTCTATTGCGTCGTCTTTTGGAAAATTTCAAGGCATTTGCCTAATTTTGGTCAGAGTCCCGAGCATTCGAAATATTAGAATGGTAATCACAGCACAGGAAAAATGGCGACGTTTGATGATGTTACGGCGCACCAGAGACTAGTTCAGTTGTTGTAATAAGACCCTAACAGACTATAAATGAATACAGAAAAATATGAGAACTTAAGTATACAAGTGAAATGGGGGTTTTCTGAGCGAAATCTTTTTGATCGAGTCCCTAGGTAGAACAAAACAGTTATAGTGATGGCGAAAAACGATGTTGCTGTAGACTGTAGAAAAAAGCTTACTTATTTTTTGAATGATTGTGAGGATACCGTCCATAACTTTCAAATAAATTTTCAGAAAATCCCATGTGTGTGCAAGATTGGTTCTAAAGAGTAATGAAAGTTTTAGAACGCAGTGATGATAAGTTATCAATCTAGACAAATTGTCCACAATTTTACCGGACAACATTCTTATTTCTTGTTCATCTTGTAAAGTTAAATTAATCACGTTTATCATAGAGTTTTTTTGATAAATTACCATTTATGCATTTTTCAAGTAAAAGATCCAAATATGAAACAGAAGTGTTGGACTACAGATGTTTAACAAGACCGAAAATTAATAGAACATGGATATAGAAATAGATTGATTATTAATTAATAATTTGTCATTTAGAAACCCTCATAACACATAATCATAACAGATTTGTTTTGTATGATAACATCTTAAGGAAGAAGGAAGCTCTACAAACACTGCACACTAAAGAGTTCCACTTATAGGATAGATGTATGCAGTTAGACTGATCTACCATTAGAAGTAAGATTTTAAAAATATCATTTACGGTTAATTACACAACTTGTAATGTATAACAATATTTTTAGAATTATATAAGACCAAGAACAGGTAATTTTTTTTTTAATTTTTCCCAATGTTAGTAAACAGCAGCGATTTCTACTCAAAAATAGCCCATTGTCTTTGAACAATTTTACTGCTAAAATAAGGAAGGTACCCTTTGTTATAAATGAATGAGGAAGTCCCAGATATGCACACCTTTATGATATTTTTTTTTTCCAAGTCCAAAAAGTAATTTCTGCTAGTGTTAAGACCTTCATTAAAAAGTTTGATAACTAATTCTAAATTTCTCTTCCTTAAAATAATAAAAACAGTAGTAGGCAGAAACTAGCAAATGTAAAAATTTTACAGGCCTAGACCTATATCGTGATATACTGATATCCCCCGTCCCCCCAAAATTTGGTGGGATTTTTTTTTCAATGAACAAATAGTACTGTCATAATTTAATAACAAATGAACAAATGACGTTTTAATAAGTGCAATCACATTTGCATTTCTGATTTAATTCAGTTTGATCACTAAACGTTCAAAATCACTTTGAGTAATTGTTTTAAACACTTTGCTGTATCAGTCAACAGTGTGACATG